TATATATATTTATTAGCTATAGAGAAAAACATTTATTACAAATTTATAATTTAATTGTATCCCTTTCCTTTGTAACTCAACTTGTGTAACTTAAATTGCATTAGGAAATGTTCGCATCACAGATTTCTTAGCCTAAGCAAACATTTGTTACAGAAGCCCAGACAGTCAATCGGGTGGAGGAGGGGGGTGTGCGGCCTGTTTTTTACCTTTACCGTCATTTGATGCTAGTTTTTCTCTTTGCTTGCAGACATATGTACAGGATCTGATTGAACAGGAATTTGATTCGCTGTACAAGCTGATTGTGCTGGAGCGGGGACATGTTTACGTTTGCGGCGATGTCACAATGGCCGAGCACGTTTATCAGACCATCAGGTGAGTTGCGAGCGAGACCGAGAGCCGACTTTAGTTCGTACTAGTTTTCCGTTTGGCTTGATTGCCTTTGTGCTCCCGCCGGAGCGGCAATGGGGCGTTGCTCCACTGGGAATTTATTTTCAAATGCTTTGCGGTCGTTTTGCCATCGTTTTTCTGTTTTATTCCTCTATTATTTCGTGCGCTGTTTAACTGTTTTTCTATTTTCTTTGCGAGCCCTTGATTACGTGCATTATTGTGACATATGCTGCTACAGCTACAGCAGCTGTGGTGGGTGTGGCAGGTCCTAACACTACTACTACTACCAGGCACACACACATTCAGTATTAATAGATGGCATATGGTCAGAACAATTTGTGCTTCTCATATCAATTCATTCGCACTGAGCCACTTTGTTCGACGATGTCTTTGACTGCGTCTCTTAATCCTAAGCGGTTTATGTTAATTGAAATGTCTGAGCAAATTATGTGCTGTGCACTTAACAAAAAATTGAGAGAGAGCCCTAAACCTGATATAGTCAGAGAAGATTAATTAATATTTATTGGATGCCTGATGGCAATTTTTAAAAATTAAATGAGCAGTTTTCTTGAATTTAAATTGAAAAAAAAACTTGGTTAAGTGTATAAAAAATATTAAGTTTTCACATAAATTTAGAAAAGCAAAAACTTATCATGCAAAAATAATATATATAGCATCTGGTAATATTTTTATATCGTGATATATTTTAATTTATTAAAAACTATATATTTTTTTGTGTGTTTAGAAAAAATAAGAAAATAATAATAATAATAATATACAGACTCCAAATGATTAAACTTCAAAACAAATTTAAACGACTTTTCCCTCATTTGAAATGTAATTATTCTCATATATAATTATGCTGTTCTATAATTATGTCGTTAATTCTCTTAATTTGCGTCTCACTCATTTTATTTGTTTACCAAACAAAACTTTAATTCAGCAAAGTGCTTCGTTTTCAGGCACACACACACATACATAAACGCATATATAGTTCAAAATATTTATTTCTTTTCTTGCTTTTGCAACAGAAAATGCATTGCCGGTAAGGAGCAAAAGACCGAGGCGGAAGTTGAGACATTTTTGCTCACATTGCGCGTAAGTATCCTTCAACTGGAGCAACTTAAACTGCACGTATAAATAACATAAAGCAACTGTGCGAGTGCCAGTGTGAGTGTGAGACAGTTCGCTTCCGTCGCCACAAGCGGGGGCCACGGGGCGTATGCGCATTTTATGCGACCTTAGCTGCTAAGAGCGGAAAAGCGGGCGAAACTTTGCTCGGTGTTTGCAGTTCCTTCAGCTGCATAAATACAATATTTGTGTGTAGTTGTAAAAAATGCAAACGTTTTGTTGCCAGTTGCAGCTGCTTTGCTGCTTGATGCCCTGTTTGCACAGCGAGTGGGGTAGATGAGTTAGTTTTTGATAGATAATAAAATGATGAAATTAAAAAATAAAAATAAAAATAAAAAAAATTTTTAAGGTGAGAGAAACAAGAATTTTCTTTAACGTAAATATTTCACTAATATACAAAATTTTCAAAAATTCAGTTTTAGATTAAAATTATATAAATTTTAAATATCTAACAAATATATTTAAATAAGAAAAATTAAAGATTTTCTGAAAGGCAATTTTAAAGTTACTCAAAAATGTATATTTCAATTTAATTCTTCGTCTCTTGCAATGTCATGCAGTTGAGTATCGATGGCAGTATAGTTAAGTATCGATAACATTCYAGTTAATAATCGATAGTTCATTGTAGTGCCATACCCTATTCCCATTAGCCTTTATTTAAAATATTGTTTTTGTACTGAGTACGTTTTTAACACACTTGCTTTGATAAACTTATGTGAGAGAGAAAGTGCAAGAGAAAAATTTCATACCAGGGTGTCAGCCAGTAGCTCCTTGTTCTCAATAGTTTTTTCTTAGCACTTAGTTTGTTTTGGCATTTTGTTTGCTTGGCTCTCTTGACAGTCACAAATATGATGAGCTTTACACTTCTATTGAGAGCCCTCTAACTCTATACTCCATTTGATTTCTTTTGCAAACACTCACACACACACACACGCACACACACAGGACGAGAATCGCTATCACGAGGATATCTTTGGCATTACGCTGCGCACCGCCGAGATACACACAAAGTCACGTGCGACCGCAAGGATTCGCATGGCATCGCAGCCATAGTAAGGATAACTGACATAGCAGCTCAACTCTTAAGCGGCAAGGAATTCGTTTTACTTTGACACTTGCCCCGCACCTAAGAAGAAGTCTTAAAGCTTACGATTAAACAGTCCAAAGTGATCGAAAAATTTATGATTATTCCAAAAGTTAATTAATGCAACAGATAATTATTTAGATAAGAATTACAAACAAAGAAACTTAGTATAGTTTATGTTGCGCATCCAATTAAGCTTTTCATTTTTTGAAAATACACTCAAAGAAAAGAAGAGATTGACATACGTCACATTTTGATTTATGCCCCATAAATTACCCACCGTTTGCCCGAATATCTGTTGAAGCTTCATCAATAAAATCTTATCAAAACTATAGCTAAACAAAATGAGAATATGCAAAATATTATTACATTACTATTGTTATTACCCTTAGTTAAATAATACAATTGAAAGTTTACGCTTTGTTCATTACAATACGAAATACCAAAGTTTATTAAATCTCTCGACTTTATGTACAAACAAATCAAAATTTAAAAATCTAAATGTTTAAATATATATATTTCAATAAATCAAATCAAATAATTCAATGTGCTCATTGAGGGATTTTCCATCGAATTTACAATTTCAATTGGAATTTAATTTAAACAGCAGTCACAGCCGGCAAAAATACGCTGCAATGCGATAAAATGTTGCAGTTGACATTGGCTAAGAGGCTTATTTGAATTGGAATTGGCATCAGCATTGGCATTGGCATTGACATTGGCCAGTTGATTGAACGGATTTCGCTCGCTGAAGATGCTAAATTGTGCATGAAATGCAATTTACAAAATGAAATGTAATGAAATATTTCCATTGAGAAAAGTTAATGTAACGCTGGAAAATGAGGAGTCAAATCAGATGCTAAGTTATGGTAAGTAGAAACAGGCCATTTCTGATGATTGAGCAAATTGTTTTTCAAGGGCTAGGAAGGTAAATTCAGCTTAAATTTAAAATAATATAATAATTTTATATGTTATTATAGACTTCAAATTAATATCTACAGTACAAGGCAGAACCTAATAATTTTATATATATTTTGTTCACACTGTACAAAATAGCGTTGCATAAGCTAGGGAGGGATACTGTTGTTGGCGAACAGAAATGCGTGGCACAGTAAAAAATGTTAGTTAACATTGAGTTAACATAATTGTGTTAAGTTGCTTTTAGTTATATATATTTATCTAAGTTACTTATTACTATATTGTTAATTAACATAAATTGGATTGATTACTGTTAGTTAACAGACGCATGTAAACACATGTTAATGTAGCCATAAGTCTCAGAATTTTGTTTGTATTATAGACTTTAGGGATATGTATAAATAACTGAATTGCTCATGAGAGAGTTCTATTTATAGTTTGGTTTGTTATAACATTTCAATAGTAATTTTTTTTATTGTTATCTAATATTTATATTTATAATTTTATATAACCCCCTCATAGACATACTATTCACAATTCTATCATTGGCAAAAATGAAAAACCAAATCAGATTATTTTACCCCAACTGTCTTCCGCCTTTTTGTTGACATTGAATTCACTTTTGTTCTATTCTGTAGCAAAACGTATGAAAAATACTCGACATGCCGCTGCGCCAACATTCCATTGGCTGTTAGCGACAGTTAGTCCGTCTGTCTGTTGGCTCTGCGGTTAGGATTTGGGTTTCAAAGCAACAACAACGGCAACAGCAACGGCTTTGTTAGCGGTTCTAGTTGGACTCTATCGTCGCATCTCGCACTATGGCTACTACTACCTTAGTTTGGTTTCGGATTCTCTTCTAATCCATTCCTAGCCTCTGTATCTGATTTCAATGTTGGAATTGAATTTTGTGCGCTTGGCTTGGCTTCCAGTTGATTCTTCTGTTTTTGTGTTTGAAGAACTTGTTTCAATTTATTATCATTTTTCTCTTCTTTCTTTTTGTTTTCACAAATCGGAAATTGGAGTTTTATTGAACAGTCGCGGTTCGACTGCTGATTGACATTTGGTTTGCTGCACTGCACATCTCTCAATGTCTACTCATATTTCACGTACAGGCAGGCGCAGCCTGTCAGGTATATGTCACCGGCAGACGGAAGATAAGTAAATGATAAATATGAATATAGACATGATGTGACATGTGGACACAAATTTGTTGAAATCTATTCAAAGGGGGTTTCTCTTTGAAGAAAGGCTTAGCTTTTAAAATCTGAAACCAGATGAGAGACCAAATGAGAGAAATATCAATACGAATTCCTTTATACTTTGATATAATGAATTTCTTATGGTATGTATGGAATAGCATAAGGAGAACTCAAGGTAAAATATTTTATTGCAATGTTCGATATGTTCAGCAATTGCAACTGGGATTTAAAATATTTGAAATAAAATTATCTGAAGTAGTACCATTATTGGTTTGTCTTAAATTAAATTAGTTTACTAGCATATTTTAAGCTTGAGTGCATAATTTATTTTGGCCAATTTATATGACGTCGCTTTTTTAGTTCTGTCTGCGCCCTGCTCACATTTCATATGTAAAGCACTTTTTGATTTCCATCAAAGGTATCGTAACATGGGTATTGGGTGTCTTTAGCAAGCACTGACCTTTTGTTAAAAAATAAATTAAGTTGCATTTTCTTGTTGAAAATTTGTCAATTCCGCTGAAATTTACGAAGTCGCGTGGCTGAAAGATTGGATGAGCTCTGCTCTGGAACTGCAGCGAAAAACATATTACTGCTTTGGTTGACATATTGCTTAGCCTTCGATTCCGTGCTGATGACATGTTTAGTCAGATAAAAACACAAACACGCTGAGCTCGCGGAAACTCAATTAAAAAGTGCAGTTGTAGCAGAAATGAGCAGAAGAAAAGAAAAATGAACGCTTCAGGCAAATGTCAATGGCTTACGAAACGGGAGTTCAAAAAACCCCGATCGCGTGATATGTTTTGTCAGAATTCCAAATAAAAATGATTATAATCGAACTTAGTTTCAATTAATCAAGGTGTTGCGTCCTCTTACGTAAATGCAACGTTAAAAGTGCGCAGCTTAAAGCTTGCCACAAAAACAACAATAATAGCAGCAGCAACAGCGATGAGGGAAGCAACAACAAAGAATTCGGCTTTGGCACGCGTCGGGGAAACCAAAAAAAAAAAAAAGCTAACCGGCTTTTGCTCTCACAGAATTAAACACAGACTTTCAACGCAGCCCAACAACAACAACTGCGTGAGACAACAGCCGACGCCGCCTTCCAACATTCCTGACATAATTTCGTGTGTGAGTAAGCAAACGAGTTCGGTTAAAAATTAGACGTCATCAACAGCAACACCAACAGCAGCAACAGCAGCAGCAGCAGCAACAGCAGCAGAGGCCGCTGGCTAACGAAAAAACAAAGTTGCAAGAGAGACAGACACAACAACAACACGGCGCATACTTTAAATAAGCATAATGGCAGACGCTTTGACAATGGCACAGGCACAGCAAAGGAAAATGGAATTTTTAATTCTCGAAAGCAACAGCGAAATATTTACGAAAAGCCGCGAAACGCACCAGACTGAGAAAAAATGTAAATTGAACGAATATGTTGCGGCCACAAAGCGGAAGCAACATGTTGCCAGCGCAGCCAGCAACATTGCCAATTCTGCTTTTGTTTTTAGAAACAACAACAAGTGGAGCAGCACTCACCTAACAGCCGGCTTGACGTGAGCTTCGCTTGAAGTTCGCTTCCAACTTGCCGATCAACAGCGAAACACCGAAGTCAACATGCTCTAGCATAGTAAATACATATATTACAAATATGTATGAGTAAATTGTACGCTGCATTTCGCAAGCAAACGCTGCAAACATTAAGCAATGCGCAGCACCTGTGCAAGTACTTGGTACCTGTCACCGAAGAGCACTCACAATTCAAGTGTAGTAATTAGCAATGAAATATATTTTCATAATTGCTAAAAGTCTGAAAACAAAACCATTTTTAAGCAAGAATTAATTCATGTGTCCAGTTGCCATTCTCATTCGATATTCACTGTTACAAACATTGCACAAAAATGCGAATACTCTCTTTGGCGTGCTCTCTTCATACATGCTCACTCTCTCTCTCTCTCTCTCTCTCTGACTCTGCAGTTGCTGGCGTCGCAGCCGGCTCAAGCTAACATTGCGACTTGAACTTGCGCTCGAGCCAAAGTCGCGCTCTTGTGAAGTTATATGCATGTGTGTGAGCGTGTGTGGCTGAGAGCGCGCTTACTAACTCTGCATGTGTGTGTATATGAGTGTGAGTAGTGTCTGTTTTAGTTACCGACAACATACACATACGCACACATAATCAAGCGCCTGACGCCGACGTCGCTGCGACAACGTTGATTTTATTTTAACTGTTGTTGTTGCTATTGTTGTCGTCGTCGTTGTTGTTGTTGTTGTTGCTGCTGCTGTATTCAGTTTGGTTGCGCGCCTCGCGTCGTTTATTTTAGTTAGTAACGAGATTTCGAGCGCTCAACGTTGGCGGCGCGGTTGAAAATCAAAATCAAAATCAAAAGCTTAGCCACAGTGCGTACTCGCTAAGTTGATACCACTGAGCGTGTGTATTAAATGTGTTTCTGTGCGTGTTTGAGTGTTGAAGCGCGTTGTGCAGACATGAAGTGAATAAGAAATTGGAAAAGCACAAAAAAAAAAA